CTGCCCAGGTATTTGGGTGCACAGAGGAGAGTGGGGTGTCCTGGTTAGCAGAGAAGCAGGGGCAGGGCCTCGGGAGGTGTTTGTCAAATCAGTCGAGGAGGCAGCGGGAAGTCACTGTCCACTGCTAGACGTGTCCCATGCTTTCGCGAATGTTTTCTGACCTGGGTTTCTGGGCAGGACTTGTATAAGGCACCTGGTGGTTCAGACATGAGCCAAACCGGATGCTTGGTCCAAGATGTAGTTTTGGACTTGCCTTACTCCTTGCTCTGTCTCAGGGCCTAGAACGGTGCCTGGCACAGACGTGTGGGCAGGGGATGAGTGATGCCAAAGCAGGGCTCAGAGGCTCAGCAGGTGGGAAAGGGCCTCCGAAGGACTCTGCCGTGCTTCAACTTAGATTGGGACATAGGGACACTAGGTTCCGAGGGAAGCTGCAGCGGGGAGAGGAGGTTCTGGTGGGAGAGGACAAGGCCTGAGCTGGAGCCAGGGCTGTTGGCAGGGAGAAGGCGGTGTCAGATATGTTGTTAAGAAGCAACACAGATCCCTGGTGACCAATGGAGTGGACAGAATGAGGGAGCAGGAGGAGGCAAGGCACGGAGTGGTGGTTGGGCTGCCCCTGGGGTAGCAGTTCACAGGTCTGGACCTCAGAGTGTGAGGCTGGCTCCGAGACTGAGAGATGCCCCACAGGGGAGACGGTAGGTCAGGAGCAGGCCCAAGGAGAGAGGAGGCTGTGCGAGGGTTTTCCCTCCTCAGTAGTGTGCCCCCCCATTCATTGTGAATTTGAGTTCCTACGTCAAGCTGTGACCTGTCATCCTACTCTTTGGTGACTGGTGCAGCAGTTGAATCCTACTCTGGAGCCGATAGATCTTGTCCTGTTCCTGACGTTGCCCTCTAACCAGTCCAAGTCCTTTCACTGCAGTCTCCGTTACCCTCATCTGTGGAACAGGTCCACTGAGCGCCCTTGGAGGGCTGTAGGGAGGGTTGCACGGGACAGGAAAGCCACCCTTGCAGAGCCTGTCCTGGAAGATGTACTCAGTATGAGTAAGCTCCCATCCCTTTCTCGTGTTCCTGATCTTTAATAAAATCACAGTAATCATGGCTAGCATCCGTGAGCACTGTGCTAAGCTTTTTACATGTGTTAACTCATTTGGTCTTCATAACAGCTCTGAGGATGGTAGTACCTTTATGACCCCCATTTTTCATATGAAGAAACTAAGGCACAGGAGGACTAAGTGGCATGGCCAAGTCACCCAGGTAGAGGTGGCAGAGCGAATTTGATACCCAGCACCTTTGCACTGCACTGCCCTGATGACTGCTTGTGTCCAAGCCCATAGGGTTATGCTCCAGGCCTAGCTCTGCATCTACATGCTCTGTGACTTTGGGCAAGTCCCCTCCTCACTGTCCTTGGTTCTCTCTTTTCATATGAAGACGCTGATTGAAATATTCATAATAGAGTGATGTGATTGGACTTGATTGGAGTTGTTTAAATTGTGCTCCAGGAAGTCCTGGATATAGATTTGGGTCCTTCTCATGAAAGGGCCCTTCTCATGAAAGGGCCCAGGCAAGCTTATGAGGAATGTCCTAGAACCCATTCTACTTTAATCTTTTATTTTTAGTTTCAATATATTTGTATTAAAGTGTAACATGCATGTAGAAGTGCATACCTCATTGAATTTCCACAGACCGAACACACCTAGGTAACCAGCTGCCCAGCCCTGAGATTTCCTGTGGCTCTCCCAGTCACCGACCCTCCAAGGGTACCTGCGTTCCCAACCTCTGTCCTCATTGATGAGCTCTGCCTGCCTTTCACCTTCCTATAAATGGCGTTACACTGTATGTTCTGTTCTGTACGTGGCTTCTTTTGTTCAATGTTATGTTTATGAGATTCATCCATGTTGCTGCAAGTAGTTTATTCTAATTGTTCTATGTTTGCTATGTGAATCCACCACAAGTTACTATCTATCAAATATATAGAGGGACATTTGAGTCATTTATGGTTTTTGCTGTTAAGAATAGTGCTGTTATGAACAGTCTGTTTCATCTTTTGGTGAAAATATT